CATATGGTGGAATGCTTCATGTTGTCCTATAATTCTGTCAGTGAATATTCTGCTTTCTCTTTCTTTTTTTTCTACCTCTTTAACTATCTGAGTTATCTCAAGAGCTTTGTCCTCTACCTCTTAGATTTTTTCTTCTGTATGGTTTAATCTGTTATTGATACTTTCTACTGCATCTTTCAGTTCCCTAATTGTCTGCTTCAATTCATTCAGCTCTGCTATACCCTTTCTATATTCTTCATATCATTCATCCCTTATTTGATTCTGTTTTTGGATTTGCTTTTGGTTATTTTCCACTTTCTCAGCTATTTCCCTCATTGTTTTTATCATCTGTATTTTAAATTTCCCTTCTGTCATCTCTAACATTTCTTTATAGGTGAAATCCTCTGCAGTAGCTACCTCATGATCCCTTGTGGGGGTTGCTCTGGTTTTGTTTTTCATGTTGCCAGGATTTTTCTGCTGTTTCTTCCTCATGAGTGTTTTCTTTTGTCTGGTTCATTGCCCTAATTTTTATTCCACTTCCTCATGCTCTTTAAATTACGTGGTGCCTCTGACTTAAGGTGTCGATCAGTCCTTTTGGTACAGGACTAAAAGGATGAGAAGATTGAAGAGCAAGAAGGGTCAAAAAGATGAAAAAAGAAAAAGGAATGGGGGTGAGTGAAATGGATGATTGAGAAGAAGAGAGGCACAGAAAGAGGGAGACAGGAGTAATAAAGATGTACAGTAAGGTATTTGGACCCACACCTTAAAAACTCCCCAAACTCTGGGGATGCTAGGTTGGATGATTTCCTTTAGGTCTGTAGCTCTTTGCCAGCCCAAGCAGACACAGTACCCCACCTCCATCAAATAGGAAAAACAAAACTAGTATAAATCAAACCAAAACAAACTAACAAACAACCTTACGGGTTAAAACTAGGGGAAAAACTAAATAATGGGGTAGAAACACTAGCAAAAACGAAGTTCTTATTATTAAAAAAGGCAACAATGAAAAATTAAGTTTACACTTAGAAAAATGAAGAAAAAGTATTAAAAAAAATCCTAGGAGTGAAAAGTTGAAATTAAAAAAGGGGGGGAAAAAGAAATATATGCATATATATCTTGGTGAATATTGCCTGGGCAACAGATGATCTTCTGGGGTATGAGATGTTAATCACAATGCTTGTACAGCTGTATAAGATGGAAACTACAGGCTTCTGCTGACTTCTTTCCTCTCCAACACCACAGGGTTGAGAGCCTGAATCTCTCCTTAGCCCACTGTTGGCTAAGCAGAGGCTTTCCCAGGAAAGCATATGTCACTGGGATCTCTCCTGAAGTGGCTGCCTGCTTATCAGGGGCACCAAAACCAGTCTCACACTAAGCCCCTGAGAGCCAAGGCTACAAGGCAGCTCTCCTACAGCAGAATAATGAAAGCTCCGATCTTCCCAGCAATCTCAGTCCTGACCTCTGTGCACTGTTCAAAGTCACTAGATCACTCGCCCAAAGTCTCTCAGCAGAGACCTTGCTTTTGGGACCCTGAGGGTGGAGCCTACATGGCAGCTATCCCCACAATGGCTGTGTGGGGCCCACAGCCCAACAAGAAAAGCTCTGGTCTGGCTCAGTGGCTCACTCCAAAAATCTGCACACAACTCAAAGCCACTTACACACTTGCCCACAGTCTCCCAACATAATTCAACCAAGTGCGCAGGTCCAAAAAACCAAAATAACTCCCCCAAGAAAGGCCTTTCCTACCTCCAATCTTTCTGTTGCTGTAGCTATGGCTGAGGGAGGCCACATGGCCTCAAACCGAGCGAAACCACTTGCCTCTTCTCCAGTGCTTTTGCCCTCTTCCTGGGGCCCAGAAGCCTCCTGCTGCCTCCCTGCATCCCCAAAGGGATGTTTCTGGGCAGAGCCCACAGGACAGAGGTGCGTATCCTCTCCCAATCTCACAGCTCCTGGTTGTAAAGAAGCTCAGCCACCATCTTGCTTGGCTCCCTTACCATGTAAATTTTATATGATAGAGAAAGTCACATCTATTGATCTTTTACTGTGTGCTTATCACATCACTGTTCTAATGGTTTTTAAATGCTAACTCAGGTAATATTCTAAGCCCAAAACCCATGAAGTAGGGACAGTTAATTTCCCCACCTTCCAGAAGAAACTGAAGCAAAAGAGGCTATTTCACACTCCCAAGGTCACAGAAAACCAGGTGTTTTAATGACTTTGCAGTGGGATATTTTATTTTATTTTTAATATTTCTAATTAATATGAGGAATCATATAATTAGGTTATGTGGTTTGTATTAATCAGAAAATACCTGAGTTTTATCTGAGTCCTTCACCCAGGAGGTGTGATGTATACCCATACATTGTACCCACTAGGTCAGTGGTTCTCAACCTTCCTAATGTAACAGGCTTTTAATACAGTTCCTGTGGGTCATGACCCACAGGTTGAGAACCACTGCATTAAGTGGAAGCTTACTGAGCACCTTCCCTCCTCCCCTTTCTCCCTCCCCCTCCCCCTTTCTGGAATTTAATTGTGTTTTTCCTCTCATGTGGGCCTGCAGATGTTCACCTCCTGGTCTCAAATGACTATTGAGTACATGGGATGCTTGTTTTTCCATTCCTGAGGTACTCAACTAAAAAGAATGTGCTTAAATTCCATCCAAGTAACTATAAATGTTATAAAGTCTGTATCTTTTCTATGGCTCAGTAGTATTCCATGATAGATACATACCACATTTTATTAATCCATTCATCAGTTGATGGTCACTTGGGTTGTTTTCACATCTTGGTGATTGTAAATTGAGCTGTGATAAACAATCTAGTGCAAATGTCCTTGGAATTCCTGGCTTCCAGAACTGTGAGAGAATAAACATCTGTGTTTGTAAATTACTGTCTCGGGTGTTCTGCTATAGTATCACAAGACCAACTAAGGGAGGATGTTTAACAATTTTGCTCTGCAAATTCGTGGTGGTGTGTGATTGTGGTTTTAATTGTAATTTCTCTGATTCAGTTGCTCTTTAACTTACTCTTAAATGTTCTATCACTTCTAATCTAAAGGTCTAAACATTATTTTCTTAACTTTCAAAATTATTTGATTAAGAAACTGGATTTTTGTCCTGTAGAATGCTGATGCTGTTAGGTATCTTTTGACATATGGAAGTAGTGGTATAGTTGTTGCCTTGGCTCCATGAATACTCAAATTTTATTAATAATCTTTCTAATATTGAAGCACTCCGTATACATGGAATAAGGTACATGAAGTCACAAGCTCCGTCATACGTACATGATGTATTATTGACATGTTTTTACTTGGGCATGCTAATATTTTACTTAAGAACATTCTCATTATTTTATGTGATCTGTACTTTCATTTTGGGGGTGCTATTTTAGCCCTGTTTTCAAATCAGTTTTATACTTGCTTTTTCATTTTATATATTTCCTATACCCTTGAAATAGTTTGGGTAATATTGGTATTATCTTTTTTTTTTTTTTGAGACAGAGCCTCAAGCTGTCCCCCTGGGTAGAGTGCCGTGACATCACAGCTCACAGCAACCTCCAACTCCTGGGCTCAAGTGAGTATCCTGCCTCAGCCTCCCAAGTAGCTGGGATCACAGGCACCCGCCACAAAGCCCAGCTATTTTTTGGTTGCAGCCATCATTGTTATTTGGCAGGCCTGGACTGGATTCGAATCCACCACCTTAGGTGTACATGGCTGGCACCTTAGCCACTTGAGCCACAGGCGCCGAGCCAATTTGGTTTTCATTACAAATACTGTACACAATGATATCTTCTTTTGTTTTTTTTTTGTTTTTTTTTTTAGAAATTTACACTTTCATATATATATATTTTATTTATTTATTTATTTATTTTTGCCGTTTTTGGCCAGGGCTGGGTTTGAACCCACCACCTACAGTATATGGGGCTGGCACCCTACCCCTTTGAGTCACAGGCACCACCCCGATACCTTCTTTGGCACCAATAAATATAAGAGCACATTTTCTTTTTCTTTTCTTTTTTTTTTTTTGTATAAGAACACATTTTAAACATGTGATTTCCCCAAAGTATTTGAAAAAAAGAGAGAAAATGCCTGATTTGTTTTCAGTATTTCAGAAATCAATTTATTTCCTAACCCGTTAAAGATTAAGACTGAAGGTATGAATCAATTGTAGAACAGAAAGGGTGAGAAAAAGAGAGACCATCTTAGAGCTGCTTTAAAGAGCTCTTGATAATTTTTCTGATGTCACCTTTCCCTTCTAGAACTTCATCAAATAGCTTAATTTAAAATATTTCCAATGAACCGATTAATGGGGAGTGGGTGGGTGGAGAAAATATGTATCTAATACAATATAAACCTTACCACAAACAACTATGCATATCAAAAGATACAAACTTTAAAATTGTACCCAAAAAGTGAGGAAAAATCTAAATTACAGAAAGGAAAGTCAAATTTATTTAATCAAAAACTAGAATAAAAATTAGCAAATATTCACACACATAAAAACACACACCAGCCCTATATAATGACTCCCAAAGGGGAAAAGCAGTGGTCCAAAACCACTCAAGATAGCTTGTCAGTTAAAGAGAAAATAACCCACACACTCACACACACGTTCGCTCACTCACACACACACACACACACACACACAGAAAAGGACACACACGATCACATGCACACAAACAACAAGCCCAGTATTTTCCAGCAATATGATCAATCTACAACAAGCTCAGAATTTTACAAACTCAGAATTATTTTACAATACTTCCTTTTTAAATATCAAAGATGCCCACCTTGGGTATACAAATACATATTTTCAGTGGTTTACTGTTGACTTCTTTTTAAAGAGATCAGTGCTACTACATGAAACTGCTCCTGTATTTTACAGCCTTTCTTTGATTTACTTTCATGTATCTACCTTCCACCAACCAAAACAGTTTCAGTTGGCAGGCAGAGGGGTGCCTTATTTTCTGTGAAATGAAATGCTATAGTTTCCAACACTGGCCAGAAAATGTCTTATTGCCATTTCAACGCTTTGCAATAGTTACAATGATGCCTAAATTGCCATTTCCTGCACAAAGCTGTGCAAGGCTGGTGTCAAAGACAAGGCAGTTACTCTTCATGATGGTTGTGACAATTCCTTCCCGAATAGACGGAGGAGTTGCTTCCCAAGTCAATCGTCGTTTGTGACCATTCAGCTCAAGTCGGTAAGTAAAATTTTCGGCTTGCTGGGGTGTTCCTATCAGCTGTACAATTGCGCAGAACTGCTGTTCACCATTGTCGTTTTCCTGTTTCTGCAAGACCACCATGAAGTGAAAGCCAAAACAGGACTGCATCATCGCCCAGTCAAAAGCCCCAGAAACATTAATGTCCATAGCAAGGAAAACTGTTTTCTCCCCTTGTATTGCTTTAAGGTACGCGTGCTGCTGCAACAGATGGGGCATGACAGCCTCCAGAGAGCCTTGCCATTGACAGGAAACACCAGGGCACGGACAGGAATAAGGCCTAAACTCACAGAGCCCTTCGTGGTCTGCTTTTTCCACGGGCGGCAGAGTTATTCCACACCCAGCAGGGGCATATTGACAAGGGAAAAGTACTGAATTGGCCAATTTCTCCATAGCCAAGTTGCGAACGGACCCCAGCGGGCCCTGGCAAATTGGACAAGAAGTCAGCTGTTGGCGACAGTTGCCACAAACAAGATGGCCACGCCCACACTGAAGGATGGGTGGTAACACATAGTCAAAGCAGACTGGACACAGGAAAAGACTCGCCAACTCACAGCTGGATGCAGTTGTGTCAGGCAGGGCAGGCTCGCTCTGGGATGGAGGCCGCTCTGAGGGCCCAGCAGGTAGGGCCCCGGCAGTCCGACGGCTCATTGCCGTGGGCCGAGAAAGCACCCGGAAGTCGTTCCTGGCTCAAACGCGCTCAGCACTCAACTCCCACCGAGTGGGGCAGCGCCCAGACCGAACGGACACCCTGGGCAGCCGCCGCTGCGGGAGAGCGTTCCCCTCAGCGGCCGCGAGGCTTCCCGGTAACCGCCTAACTGCCACCGGCGCAGCCGTTTCACGTGTCCTCGAGCGACAGCGCGCTGCCGCTAAATACCGTACACCTTGGCCAAGGCCGCGAGGAGCTGAGGCCCTGCGTGCCGGGCCCCTGGCTGCTGTTTTATATGAGATTTATTGATCCAAATTCAGTATGTGTTGTATGTGATTGTCTCGTTAGGCTTTTTGCCTCTCCTGGGGCCCAGGTGGTTGTAATAGTTTTTGCCTTGGCTCCATGAGTACTCAATAATCTTAATACTTGATAATCTGTCTAACACTGAAACACTATGTATACGTGGAATAAGATACATAAAGTCACAAGCTTGAGTTTCACTAGAAGATTATCCATTGCATCTGTGTTCAAGTGTATTTGGATGGAATTCTGCAAACTTTGCACTTAGGAGACTGGAAATTTTCTTTGTATTGAAGACTATATGAACCCCGGCGTTATAAATTTCGGGCATTTTTGTCTTTCTCTCCTTTTGATTAATTTATCTAGTGACTTTTCATGTTTTTGATATCCACCCAAGTAAACCTGCCATTCCTCCTATTTATGAATTTCACTGTAGTTTTTTTTTTTTTTTAATTCAGGTTAATATAAGAGGGGTGTGTAATATCAGGTTACACTATTTGCATTTGTTAGGTAAAGTGCAAATTGTAGTTGAACTCTTCGCGTGGAAAGTGTGCCATGTACCCCTACATTCAGCCATAAAGAAAGATGGAGACTTTACAACTTTTGTATTTACCTGGAAGGATCTGGAGAACATCCTCCTAAGTAAAATTTCACGGTACTTTTATTTTCTAATCCATTTATTTCAACTTCCACCTCTAACTAGTATTTTTGCCTTCATACTTTTACATTATGTTACGGTTTTCTGAATTTAACATTTAAGTCATTTATTTTTATTTTTAACTGTGTAATATTTAAGATGCCTACAACATTTTCTGATCACTGCTATAGTGGTCTATTTTTTTTTTTTTTTTTTTTTTTTTTGAGACAGAGCCTCAACCCTTGGTAGAGTGCTCTGGCATTACAGCTCACAGTAACCTCCAACTCCTGGGTTCAAGTGAGTCTCCTGCCTCAGCCTCCCAAGTAGCTAGGACCACAGGCACCTGCCACAAAGCCCGTCTATTTTTTGGTTGCAGCCGTCATTGTTGTTTGGCGGCCCGGGCTGGATTCGAACCCGCCACCTTAGGTGTATGTGGCTGGCGCCTTAGCCACTTGAGCCACAGGCACCGAGCCATCTATTCTGATATATTTTGTTTTCATTATAATTATTCTCATGTAATTCCACAATTTTAATCTGTTCTTGCCTTTGGACCCCAAATTTAACAGCCTCAATAGTAATCTGATTTTTCATAATTCTCCTTCTGTCACTGATGCTCTACAAAATTATATTTTTGCTGCATTGCTGGGTACGTAAGTATTAATAACTAACATGTTCCTAGTAAGTTTTAGCCATTAGTTTTTTGTTTTTTAATCCATTTCATTCTCTTAAATACAATTCTCAGTTGTGCCCTCTTAAATATCAAAATTATAAACTTTGATTTGTTTATCATTGTAATACTCTGGTACATGTTTGATTTTTTCTTTTCCAGACAGACTCTCACTATGTCACCCTTAATAGAGTGCCATAATGTCACAGCTCACAGCAACCTCAAACTCTTAGGCTTAAGCAATTCTCTTGCCTCAGCCTCCCAAATAGCTGGGACTACAGGTACCCACTAGAATGGGTATTTTTTCTTGTTCTTCTTGCAGTTGTCATTGTTATTCAGCTGGCCCAGTTCAGGTTCAAACCCGCCACACTTCGTCTATGTGGCTGGTGCCATAACCACGGTTCTATGGGCACCAAGCCACATTTTGATTTTTAAAAATGTTTTATTGTTTGTGATTCATTGAGGGTACAAAGAATTAGGTTACGCTGATTGCATTTGTTAAGAGGTGTGCGATACACTGTGTCCCCATCCCCCTCTCCCTGCTCCCTCGTTCTTCTACCATACTCCTTGTATTAGTTCATCTACTGCCTTCATATTAGAATTGTGTACATTGGATTCTTGTTTCTTCATTCTTCTGATGCTTCACAAAAGAACAGTGGGTTCCACCTCCATCAAATGATGCAAAGTCTCCATCTTTTTAAAAGGCTGAATAGTAATCCCTGGTATACATATAGCACAGCTTGTTAATCCATTCCTGAGTCGGTGGGCATCTAGACTGTTTACACATTTTGGCAATCATAAATTGAACTGCAATAAACAGTCTATTGCAAATTTCTGTATGTTAAAAGGATGTGTTTTCTTCTTACTAGGTAGATGCCTAGTAATGGGATTGTAGGATCAAATGGGATATCTAATCTGAGTTGTTTGAGGTTTCTCCATACTTCCTTCCAAAACGGTTGTATTAGGTTACAGTTCCACCGGCAATGTAAAAGTACACCCGTCTCTCCACATCCATGACAGTATCTGCAAGTTTGAGACTTTGGGGTGTGAGCCATTCTGCCCTGGGGTTTAGTTATATCTCAGGGTAGTCTTTATTTGCATTTCTCGGATGATTAGGGATAATGAGCATTTTTAAATATGTTTGTTAGCAATTCATCTGTCTTCTATAGAGAAACTTCTATTCATGTCTCTTGCCCAGTGATATATCCGATTGTTGGGTCTTTTCATGTTGATTAACTTGAGTTCTCTGTAGATGCTAGTTATCAAGATTTTGTCTGGTTCATAAAATGCAAATATTTGTTCCCATTCGGAAGGTTGTCTGTTTTCATTTGGTTGTTGTTTCCTTAGCTGTCCAGATGCTGTTTAATTTAATTAAGTCCCATTTGCTACATAATTCTTCTTCATAAAATCTTTCCATAGCCTGGTATCCTCAAGTGTTTTCCCAACACTTTCCTCTAGAATTTTTATGTTTTGATGCATTAAACTTTAATCTTTCCTCTACTTTGAGTCAATTTTTGTAAGTGGTGAGAGGTGTAGGTCCAGTTTCAGTCTTTTACATGTGGTTATCCAGTTCTCCCAACACCATTTATTGAATAGGTGTTCATTTCCCCAGTGTATATTCTTGGTTGGTTTATCAAATATCAGGTGGCTGTAAGATGTTAGTTCCGTATCACGGTATTCTATTCAATACCAAATGCCAATGTCTCTGATTTTGTGCCAATACCATGGTGTTTTGATCACTATGGCCTTCTAGTATAGCTGAACAGCTGGTAGAATGATACCGCTGGCTTTATCTTTATAACTAATAAATGCCTTAGTTATGTGGGTTTTTTACTGGTTCCATACAAAATGAAGAATTCCTTTTTCCAAGTATTCAAAGTTTGATGCTGGTATTTTCATAGGAATGGTGCTGAATCTGTGGATTGCTTTTGGAATTTTTGTTAGACATTTTAACAATGTTGATTCTTCCCAGGCATGAGCATTTGGTGATATTTTCTGCTATTTCTTTTCTCAGGGTTTTATAATTTTTCTTTTTTCTTTCCTTTTTTTTTGAGACAGAGCCTCAAGCTGTCCCCCTGGGTAGAGTGCCCGTGGCATCACAGCTCATAGCAACCTCCAACTCCTGGGCTCAAGCGAGTCTCCTACCTCAGCCTCCCAAGTAGCTGAGACCACAGGCGCCCACCACAACGCCCGGCTATTTTTTGGTTGCAGCCATCATTGTTGTTTGGCGGGCCCAGGCTGGATTTGAACCCGCCACCTTAGGTGCAAATCGCTGGCGCCTTAGCCATTTGAGCCACAGGCACTGAGCCTCATAATTTTCTTTATAGAAGTCCTTCACCTCTTTTGTCAGGTAGATTCCTAGGTATTTCTTTTTCTTTGAAGCTATGGTGAAGGGGGTTGTGTCCTTAATTAGCCTCTCATCTTGGCTGTTATTGGCGTGTACAAAGGCTACTGACTTGTGGAAATTGATTTTTATATTCTGAGATATTGCTGTATTTTTTGATGACTTCCAGGAGTCTTTTGGTTGAGTCTTTGGGGTTCTCTAAGTATAACATCATATCGTCAGCAAAGAGGGAGAATTTGACCTCCTCTGCATTTGGATGCCCTTTGTTTCATTCTTTTCCCTTATTGTATTGGCTAGAACTTCCAGCAATATGTCAAATAGTAGTGGTGATAGAGGACAACTTTGTCTGGTTCCAGTTCTAAAGTAGGAAAGTTTCAGTTTTACTCCATTCAGTAAAATATTAGCTGTGGGTTTGCCATAGATAGCTTGAATCAGTTTAAGAAATGTGCCACCTATGCCTACACTCTTCAGTGTTCTAATTAGAAGAGGATGCTGGATTTTATTGAATGCTTTTGCTGCATCTATTCAGATGATCATTTGGTCTTTGTTTTTGCTTCTATTGCGAGGGTGAATTACATTTATGGGCTTGCGTATGTTAAATAGTGTTGCATCCCTGGGATGAAATCTACTTGATCATAATATATGACTTTTTGATGAGAAGCTATAGTTTACTGGCTAGGATTTTTTTGAGAATTTTTGCATCTATATTCATTAGTGAAATTGGTCTAAAGTTCTCCTTATTTTAGTTGGATCTTTTCATGGTATTGGCATCAGGGTAATGTTTACTTTATAAAACGTGTTGAGGAAGTCCTTCCTCCTCAATTTTTTGGAATAATTTCTGCAGTATGGGAA